TACTAATGGTGGACACTTAATTTGGATAACCCTGTATGTATAGTGCTTGGGTTGTTGGCATAAAGCTTATTTTTCAGAAATCCCTACAAAAAAATGGAGTCAAAGAAACTACGGTCAGGTGACTTTGTATAAAGGGCGATCAAACGTCCAGAAAATATTTTTCAAAAATCATCCACCATTTCTCTTGCCATGTGACACATCGCGCTGTTCTGTTGGAGCAACATCCGTTTGCTAAACAGGATATGTTTGCTATCTCCAAATAACTAGACTTACAGCTGTTGATATGGTAAGGAAACAGGTCCTATTCAGCCTGTACTTAGTTTATGCAACTTTCCCATAGGACGTCAATGCTGGTAGTATGGTGGGTACTTAGTATACAAGCAACCACTGCAGCTTCCTACTGTCGTACATAGGGGTCGGTAGTAAGTGGCATGCCATCTTTATTTTACTTTCTCGCAACATTCATTGCATATTAAAATGTCGAGTATTTGCAGCCACAGCGCTTGGCATCATACCGCGTTAACACTTGCCTGTATAACTTGCAGCACATCCGATCTTACTTTTTCGGGCTCCTTATAAGGCGATGCCTTGTGGCCTCCAAATATTACCAGATCAAATGGTTCAGGTCGTTCTCGTGTGGTAATTTATGGAAAATAAGGTGCATGTTAGCAAATCAAGAAGTATATAGCATTAGGAACTCTAAGCCCACCAAAAGATGATAAAAAGCGTGTTAAAGAGGGCACAGCCTTTTGTGGGTTCTAGAGGCAGGTATTTATGTTATCATTTTTCCCATATATCTTCAAAAAATGTCCAAAAATATATCTATTCTGTTTGATTTCGGATAGAAACATTACCATCTAGTTATATATACTAAGTGACATATAAATCCGAACACCCAGTTTGAATGGTTTTATTTTGATAAAAGTTTTTGAATGTATTTATCTTACTGTAAATAACAAGTGAAAAAATTTTCAGCCTTATCAGTTGGACATTCCGGTTTTTATACTGCTTTTTTTAATTCACTAACGCTCTAAAAATGAATATTTCAGCCGCTGTAAAGAATCAACGTTGGCGGATTTTGGTTCTTGACATCCTTTACGATCGGTTACGATGCCTAGAGTTCGGAGACCTGTACGATTTCGTCAACTTAGTGAGTTTGATAGGGGCCGTATAGTAGGACTTCGTGAAGCTGGACTTTCTTTTCGGGCAATTGCAGTTAGAGTGCAAAGAAGTGTAGACACTGTGGTTAGGTGTTGTCAGGCATGGCTTCGAGAAGGCGGTACGCAAAGAGCAAGGGGCACTGGACGCCGCCGTAGAACAACAGACCGTGAAGATCGCCGCCTAACATATATTGGCCTTAAGGACCGTTTCTCCACTACCAGGTCCATTGCAAATGAATGGTTTGCAGAACACGGAAGACCTATTGGCATGCGAAGTGTTTACCGACGAATGAGAAGTTTTGGCTTGTTTTCATACCGACCACACTGGGTCCTCCCTTTAACTCGAGAACACCGACGTAATCGCCTTGAGTGGTGCAGACAACGGTCACTCTGGGATCAGGAATGGAACAGTATTGTCTTTAGTGACGAGTCTCGATTTTGTTTAGGCATGCACGATGGTCGTGCCAGGGTTAGAAGGCGACGTGGTGAAAGGAGGAATCCACAGTTTTTTGTTGGAAGACATGTTCATCACACTGTTAGAGTTATGGTTTGGGGTGCTATAGCTTATGGTTCCAGGTCACTTCTTTCAAAATAATGATGTCACATTGTTACCATGGCCACCAAGATCTCCCGACTTATCCCCAATTGAGCACGTGTGGGATATGATGGGTAGGAGATTGCTCAATTTGCAACGTCCTCCTCAGACTCTAGAATCACTTCGAGAGGAGTTGGTGGTTGCCTGGAATGAGATACTACAGGAGGACATTGACCACCTGATTAGAAGCATGCCTAGGCGCGTTGGAGAATGCGTAGCACATCAGGGTGCATCCACACATTATTAAAGGTCAAAGGGCTTTAAAGCAGTGCAATCATTTTGAAATTTTTATCATTTACTTATTAGGCTTCATTAGTACTTATACAAAATTTTATTAAAATAAAACCATTTAAACTGGGTGTTCGGATTTATATGTCACTTAGTATATGTATGTATTGGTATTTAACATTATAGTAGTATAATGTAACACCTGAAACTTATTCTATGGTTTTCATGTTCATTGGAATTCATTGTCTTCCTCAATCAAACCACATGTATGTTTAAATTTCTGTTTACAATATATAATATACTGTCAGTACTGTCATGACTTGAAAAAGGCTGCCGTAGAGGTCAAAACAGTATAATCAGCAGGAATTTGAAAATATACGCGGTTTGATTTGACCACACAATTTCCATCTGACTTTACCTTATTATTAGAGGATTGACAATTAAGGAACAACTTATTATAAGGTCTTATTTGATACATTATCTCAAATAAAATCACTCGTGAGTCGTATAAAGTGCTCACAAGGCTCAGAGCTCAGAATATGCTCAATCGAAACCTACCTATAGCCCCTTTAAGAACCTTTAGACTGTAAAAACGTTACTTGTGTATTCTATCAACCTAACAAAGCTGTATGATATATGAAGAAAACAATCAGATAACACGTCGGAAGTAACACTAGACAGAAGATAATGGTCATGAAATCACGTTACTTGCTGCATCCGTTTCGAGTATTTTTGCATTCCTCAAGTAACGTAATAATTAAATTACCTATCGTGTTGCACGAAAATCATCCTGCAATCCCTGGAAAAAGTGAAAACCCACCATGCACATCTGGGCGATACAATTTTTCAATCTTGATATCGTGATTTTTCCTCGGTTTTCCTTTTTAAAATTACATCTTTCGCTAATGATATACAATTAGTAAACATAAATACCGCTTGTACCGTTTCGCGTTGCAACGTAATTGCGTTCGATCCAGCCGAGATAGGTTCACCATAGAAAAATCATTTTTAATGGTGTTTACTCACACAATTTTAATTAGTAGCCTAGCTATTGTTGGTGATGAATTATTAGATTTAATAAATTGTTATTATAATTATTGTTGTAATTTGCAATATATGCACTTTATTTTGAACGGGAATCAATATTTTTAAATGTCGCTTGATATTTATTGTTTTATTTGTTGTGGTTTTCTCTGATACTCAAAGTGACATATTAAAGGTCCGTGTGGATAAGTATCTCAGTTAGTGTATGGCGAACAGATATATAGTTATTAACAACTCAAAATGATTTGTCAGATTTTTAGAGCTAAATTTGAGCTTTAGCAAAATCAACTCTGTGTTTCGGGCTGACAAAGTTTCTTCAGAATAAAGTTTGAGCGACAATCAAACATTCTAAATAGAACTTAAATATAAGCAATTTTGCTTAATTTATTTTTTTCGAAACCTAGGTGTCATATTATGTATTGGTTAATACCATATGTTTGCCCTTATATTTTAGATTTGTATCAGGTCAGTCATGGGATAGCTTTTATTTCTCTTTAGTGTCAATTTCTTAGTTTCGTTGAGCATAGGACACATGATCGTATTTTTAGTACGAACTGGCTGCTTATCCCTTCTCATCTATCGGAAGACTTGCTGGGAACTTAGTAACCTGGATACTGTTTAGTACTGCAAGAAACAAGAGAACAAGATTTGAAACGAAGGCGTCTTGTCAGCTCCGGTGGCTGTTGGAGGAAGATGAGTTATCTGTTTCGAACTAGGACTCACATCTCGTCACTTAATCGTATGTCTGAGGAGCTGCTACACCATCTAGACTTGATGTGGTGCTAATCAGGGCAATCTTTCTGGTTGAAGATACTTCTTCAGCAGCCGATCTGATAGCCTTTCACTTGTTCGATGTCTTGGCATTTTTATACCGATAGTCTAACGGAATTCGACAGCCGCTGGTTTTGTATCATATAATAAAAGAGTTCTTATTTTTCCTTTCATTCATTGACTACAACACAACTGTTACTTTGTCATGTTATGCATAATTAGGGATACATTGCAGTTAGATTGTTTTTATATTTTTTTATATTTTAGTGATTAGAATCATTTTCATTAAACAATAAAAAGGTGCATTGAAGTTAAAACATTTCCAAAATTAGGCAAAGATAGCTTCAATATCAAATTTTGTTTTCTCAAACCACATTATATACTCATTTAAAAATTAAATGAAACGGAACGTAAAACAGCCACACATGTTCATGCTCAAGTTGACTATTGATCCAATCTATATCTTCCTGAATACTTGCGGCGCCAACTAGATCTCTATAGAACTTTTGCATCCTTGGGAATAAGGCCCAGTACTGATTTTAAATCTTCTGGTTTCTCTTCTGATGTAGCTTTTCCACTGTGCGACTTTCGATATGTTCATGAAGTTATCCTTGAATCGAAGTGTTCCATGGCCTGCCACGTTATTTTTTTGCCAATACTGATATCTTTAGGTCCAGCTTTAAAAATCAGTGTTAACAGATATACAGAAAGGGATATCTCTTATCATACAGCACTTTAAGAAAGATCCTGCACTACTTATTTTTTGGACAAGTCAAGTTAACAAGCAGATGTTGAAATTGGCACAGGCATACTATATTTGGACTTTGAATGTAAAAATAATCATGGAAAATTTCAAGATAACGGCTGTGCACTACTGATTGCAACTTGCTCCTGAAGTTATTCATTCATTTTGTCGAGCTAAATGGGATAAATAATAAAGTTGCTATGTTGAAGCATAATAGAGAACATTCTGTATAATTTGTCTTGAATACTAGAAGGAAGCTGTTGCTGTCGCACACTGCTATCTTGGATATGTCCCCACTTTCTTTGCGTTCCTGTCTATGCTGCAATTTTCACTTGTCAACAGCGGATTATATAGAGGTTGGTCACTTTATGCAAGACTTTGGAAGTGCGTTTGAAAACACTAAAAGCTGATAATGACTACATTTTTTATTAGTAAATTCAACTAATATGCATCAGATAGCAGCAGAATGTGAAAGTTTATCAAATGGCGCTTTGTCAAGTTATGCATTACCCAGTCCAACTAAATTGTTATGTCTGGATTGAAGAGACCGTTCATTTAGTTATCATACCCTTTGTTTTGAACTAAACAATCGGCTTGTATAGTAAAACATCCTTGGTCTTGATAAGCCTTCATGACACAGCATAAGGCTTTGTACTAATGTATTATTGCAATGTTACCCTACAATGAAAGAAATAGATAAAGATAATATACCCAATACCAGAATTCTAGGGTGTGGTGTACACTCATTTCCATAAAGAATTGAAAATCTCGTCTGTCAATTTTATTTCGATCAATGTTCGAGTCTTGCTGACCTAGTACCAACGATACTGAATCGCTCTACTAAGACATCACTGCTGAAAAATAGCACCCCTGGGGGCTAATCAAAGAAATAAAAAAAGATAAACAACCGGACGATCAATCGGATGATCGTCTTATCTCTTAATTTAATTTTCTGACAGAACCATTCAGGTCGTCGCGCAACCGCCAGTGCTGTCTCGTTATCTTCCAGATCTAATTAAAATCGGACACACCGGGAGAAAAAGTTAATGAGATCGGAGATCATTAAATAAAGGAGAAGTCTTCAGAGAGACAGAGTTGAATTTGTCGCCAATGGTGATGTAATTGACTGTGTGTGTCTGTCGACAGCGAAGGTGGTGGAGGATGGAGTTAGTTGCACCTGACAGGCGTGTTATAGTTCTATAGTGGGAAAGATCTACCGCTATTGATAACAAAATATATCCATCACCTATTTATAATTAGGAAGTTTACAGCACTAGTAAGCACAATGATGGTACTTACATTTTCTGATGAAGCGAGCCTTTCCAAATTTTTTTGACAACGCCTTTAACTGATAAGTAACATACAGCTATAGCATCCAAAAAAGAACGTAATATAGCTTCTGGAACTTATCCTCTGGTTTACATGTCGACAATCCCCCATGCTGGTCAAGCCAGCAAAACTACATGTGTTGACAGAATCTTCTTTTCTGTAAACGTTTCAATCACAAATGTGATCTTCGCAGTACATCTTCATGTAAAATGACAATATATTTGATTTGTCTGTTTCCAGGTGACAGTTTGTTTGTTTTATCAAAGAAGGGCCAGCCCCCAAAACGACAAGCAAGTATAAGGATATTCGTAGTTTTTTAATGTACAGGCTAGGTTACTCCCGTTCATCGTCCCGAAAACGTCAAAGGCCCTCCAAAAAAGAAAATACGCGAGACAACCAGGGCTGTGTGTTACGACAACAAAAGGATATATCTGTTTTTTTTTACTTTTTAGTTAGTCCAGGTAATTTAGTCTATGTAGAAAAGGACATTTAAAATAATTAAACATTTTAGTGAAAGCAGTTAAGCCGTTTATCTGAACTCGGCCGTTCATTGGTGAATGATCGGGAATATGCGACAGGCATAGTGCCGGTGACGAGCTTTTGACTCCCCAGTTCTGTTTGTGATTTTCAGTATTCGAATGATGTCTTGTTGGTGTAGTAGCTGTGAAGTGGATCAATTGAGCATAAGGGGTTTAGTGGTCCATAACCATGGTTAGAATATTTCTCGCTCCCAATGAAACACTTTGTACAGGGGAGCAACAGAACTGTTCATGTGGCAGAATGTGAAGAACTTTGAAAATTTATTTATGCAGTCGTATTTAGACCAATGAAGGGTATTTATACCAAACATATGTTTGGTATGAAACAGTTCCAAGATATAACTTTTATTGTACTGGATATGGATGCAAATATATTTTTTGATGTTCCTGTAGTTAAACGATAACAGACTGTTACATCGGTGGTGTATCACCATTAATATAAGACTTTGAAAAATGATCCGATAGACTTACTGTGTATATTGTATAATGTATGTGTAGGTAGTGGGCCCTCCTATTGGTGCAGACTTTGCAGGATTCAAAAATATCATAGTTTGCTTAGTGATGTCGACTTCATGTATACCTATAATGTAAATGCACTGTGAGTGTGAGTGCAATACTGCCTTATTATCTATCTATATATATATGTAAATGAATCCCTATTTCGCGTGGTCACGCCATAACTTGAGAACGGCTTTACCGATTTTATTCATCTTTTTTTAAAAAGCTTCCTGATGCTGTATAGAAGGTTCCTACGAAAATAGAAGTCAAGAAGGTTGCACAAAAATGTCTAAATCATTGAAAACGTAATGACTATTTAAGATACGCGCGTTTGACAGTTTGCTTAATATCCCAAGTACCAAAAGAGACAGGCACTCCTCTCCGCCATCTTTATTCCAACAGCTATTGACAGTTAGCTAGCTATATAAGAGAAAATTTCTTATGAAAACACGGTACCCTCAAAAGAAACTGCAGTGTTGCCTAATTGTTATCTGTGTCCGTTAATTCTATGAATAAAAATGGCGGATAAAAATACGTTTCTTTTGCTCAATTGACTTTCACTACTCTATCATTTTGAACTTGACAGCTCGCACGCCGCAAGTTTACATTATCGTTTAACAGTGTTTATCTATGATAAAATATTGTTTTATTTGATTAGTAGTGCACAGTCCATTCAATTAGAGCTCTTATCCAGTTTTTAGTTTGTTCAGTCAGTTTTAGTTTTTTGAGAAACATTTGTTCAAAAATAATTAACAAGGGTAGAAGTTGGTTCACCGTAATTTCACGCCTTATATTAAAATTGTGATTCTTCAGATTGCCAACAATTAGACGTACCAACTAGGTCGCAGAACTCGCAATGCTGCATGTCAAAGATATATGCGAAGAACTCAAACTGACGAGCAACGAGAAGCAAGAAATGAAGATGAACGAGATCGAAGGACTGAAACTCAACAACGTAGTAGTGTCGCACATGATCCCAATCGAGCTGCATTCAATTGTGACGTGGCAATCGATTACAGTTCACTACAAATCATTGCTATTGGACCAATGAACGTTGTGAGTCCACACTGCAAGGCCTTCAAGTTTGAAAACAAAGCCCCTAGATTATATTGCGTCAGTGGAAAAATCAAATTGACTCCATTGGTACCACCACCAGAGCCATTACATTCATTGATTTCCAGAAATAGGGCAGATTCTATCCATTTTTTGACTCATATCCAGCAATAGAATAATTGCTTTCAAATTAAGTCATTTGGCGCAACAAAATTCATCGATATAATTTTATGCCTACTTTCAAGGTATGTTGATGGGGGAACGGCAGTGCTGCCAGCGTATTTTGCTAGCCACATGGCGGTACACAATTACCTACATTCCATATCTTTACCCTTTTATTATTCTTTGTTCATCCCAGTTCATAGCTAAGACAGGACAATGCCTGACAGGTCAGCTGATCAGAAATAAAACTGCAATTTGTTTACATATGATCACGGGGACTTACTCAGTTCCAGGCATCTCCCTAGTCAAAAATTATTATTTTAATATTTTGTTCAATGACAGGTAGACCACATCTACTGCACAGCTAGATTCGTCGCCATCTAGTGGTTATGTGGTGACTGGGCCTCCACTCGCCCACAGTCCGAACCGGTAGGCTGCGATTCACTGTTTCGAAGTGGTCGATTATAATAGTAGATGGCGCTTCGGGCTATCTTATTCCTATAGATCACATACTTTGTATAGGTATTGTTGCTATACGTTCGTTCACTGTCCGTGAGACCAAAAGACTAGACCATGCAGAGGAGTAGTCAAACAACACGAAACAGCTGACCATGGTTGACAATCTTTGGTCGATCGGGAGAGAGATGAACATGTTTGTTATTTTGATGCTTAATAATTTTTTTTAATTGGCCTAATTGAAGCTTTAATCGGTGGCATAATTTTTTTTTCTCAGCGTACCCGCTCCCTTGAGTGTGCCGGTGAGGTCCTACTATCTTGTCAGTTTAGTAAATAAACTAGCAGCGATTACAGCAACCTACAGAATTCCTTACCGCCATCATACCTCTCGCAATTCGATATATACTCATCCTTCAACTATCCGTGCTTGAGTTTTTTCCAATCTATGGTTAGCAGAAAAATATAAAAAATAGCGACAGCAGCAAGAATGCAAGTCGGCGTGTTAGTTGCGTAAGCGTCATTTCCACACGTTGTTATGCCCACACGTAAACAATGGCATAGAATTGTCGAGGAAAACGGGTTGTAGAGCACACCGCGCACACCGAATGGCCTTCTTCTACGCGACCTCCGATCTGATCACTGTCTATGTACAAGGTGGCTGGCGATAATTGCACATACCTTAAGCAAAATTCGAAACGGTGACCTGGTCCATTTTATTTTATTGCAAGATTGAAGTTGAAAGGTGTTAAGCACGCATCACGCTCAAAAATTCATCAAAATTAGAGTTGTAAGACCAGGCAAGGCACCCAGCTACAAACAGCTGGTGATGACATCCTAAAGCTGAATTTATAGTCAACGCCAAACAAAGTGGCGTGCACGTCATCAAGGTGGGTGTGTTGAAAAATTTACATTGTTGCCAAACTTTTTGTAAAATAATAAAATTTATTATTTACGTATCTAGGTTTATAAGCAATATTAACCTCAAATGAGAACAAAAATAATAGTATAATAAAATTATAGATCTGTACTTGCATAATCATTAAGTATGACAATTATTGATCAGATGACACTATGAAACTACCATATTTAATTGATAGCTTAAAGGTACTGAATAAAAATCCAAATGGGGTCCCCCAAATTTTATGCATGGTATTTATTTTACAGAATTCATACAGAAAAATGCATTCTAAAATTAGGTAAGCTACTGGTGTAAGCTTTTTCTGTACAATAAAGTTAGTCGGAGTTTCTTTCTTCAGCGCTGTCTGAATCTGAATCTTCATCACTCTCAAAGTTGATTATTAAAGGTTCGATGTCTGGTCGATCAAAAATTCGTTCTCTTTCATACCATTTAAAAATTTCTTGCTCAGTATGTCGAACACTATTTTTCCACATGTCTGGGGTAACCGTTTGTAGAGCCTCGTTCCACATATCCAAACACTGTTACCATCTCTACCAATATGTCTGTTATAGTAACCTTTTGCTATGCACCAAATTAACTCAATAGGGTTAAATATACAATGGTAAGGAGGCAGACGAAGAACTTTGTGCCCATGTTGTTCCGCCAATTCATCAATCACGTATATTTTAGGTGGTTTGTTTCTAAAAAAGCAGTTATTTTAAGAATAGGAATAAACAAAAGAAATATAAACTGTCGACCAAAATATATATAATTAAGAAGCATTATGTACCGAGCAACAATACTCAATAGCTCTGTTTTAAACATTGTGTTTAAAAATGGTATGTTTTGATTTGTCAACCAGTCTTGGATATTTTTTTTTGTCCATGCATTGTTGGGCACTTTGTTCAATATCATGCTGTGATAAGGGGCGTTATCCAGTATAATCATAGATGGACTCTCCAATTTTTCTAGTAACTGATGTTGAAACCATTTCAAAAAATTGTCCTGGTTCATCTCTCCATGGTAATCGCTCAATTTTGTTTTCGAAGAAAATATCGCTTCACTACCCTCAATAAACCCATTTTCATTTCCAGCATGTAATATAATGTATCTAAAATATATTAGTTTTAAATTTTATAGTGCAAATTGTGTAAAAGTACATACCTTTTACCATCTGTTTTAATAGCTTTCACGCTTTTTTGGTTTCCATTTTGCCAAGAGCGACCTATGGTCCCATTTTGAAATATCCAAGTTTCATCGAGGAAGACAAACTGGTATAAGGCCTCAACCTTGGCTTGATTGTATTGCCTTAGAAATTCCACCCTTTTCAAAGCTATACTTGGTAATTCCATGAGCCCTCGTCGCGGATTGTCCTTAAGCCACTTAAATCCAAGATCTCTAAGCAACCGCCTTAAAGACGTGGCACTACCATCAAATAATGCCCTATCTCTTAATCGAGACCATAAAGTTTGTATCGTAACTTGTTCTTCTGAAACCATGTGTAATATGACATTATAATTTAGTTAACAAATTAATGCAAATTTCTGATAAGTTATTATAATAAGATCTTACTTTTGTGATACATATTATAGATCACTTCTCGAATGGCACTTGTATCCAATGTCGCTGTGTTGGTTACACGTTTAATATAACTCCGCTTTTTCTTGGGCGATTCTAAATTTGCATCACTTTTCACACCCTCGGAAATACGACTAACTGTCCTTAAACTAATTTTTAAAGCAGCAGCAACACGCTACAAAAAATGAAATAAAATTTCACTATTATTAATATACATTA